GTTATTATACTATATTTTTATTTGTATTATTTTTATTGTTATATTATTTTTTTATATTTTCGATGCATGGTTGGTTGAATCTACAGATGTAGAACCCTCAGATATAGAGGGCTGACTACATATTGCAAGAAGACAGCTGTCTGTAACCTAGGAAAAGGATCCTCACCAAGAACCCTGCTGGAATCCTGATCTTGGATTTCCACCCTTCAGAACTGAGAGAAATAAATGTTTGTTGTTTATGTCACTCAGTTTATGGTACTTTGTTACAGCAGTGCAAGCTGACTAAAACAGGGTGCGAAGCAACAAGGACTCATACATTGCTGTCGGGAAGGCAAAATGGTAGAGTCACTTTGGAAAACACTTTGGCAGTTTCTTATAAAGTTAAACATTCATTACCACATGACTCAGTTACCTCACTCCTAGAAGTTTAACCAAGTGAAATGAGAAATTATGTTCATACAAAAACTGGTATGCAAATATTTATAGCAGCTTTATTTATAATTACCAAAAGCTGGAAATAACCCGTATGTTCTTCAACTGGTGAATGGATAAACAAACTGTGGTACATCCACATGGCGGAATACCACTCAGCAAGAAAGACCAATGAACTATTGACACATGTAGCAACATAGATGAATCTCAATGGAATATGGTAAACAAAATCAGCCAGATTCTAAAGGCTTCATACTGTATGTGTATGATTCCATCCATATGGCACTGTGGTTATGGGAGAAAAAAATTGACGAATGGCTGCCACGGGCTGAGGGTAGGAGGAGGAGCCATCTACAAAGGAGCACAAAAAAATCTTGGAGGTAACAGTAATGTTCTACATTTTGATTATGGTGGTAGTTCTATAACCGTATGCATTTGTCAAAACTCATAGAACTGCACACTAAAAAGTAAATTTAATATTAAAATATTTAAAAAGGAAAAATAAACAATGACTTAATTTTAAGTTGCCAATAAAACATGTCCCACCCCTAACCTTCGGCAGAATTGTGCTTAATCTACATACACTGACAGGTTGCCTGTTTAAAAATACTCACAGAGAAGAAGATTGTAAAAGCCCAAATGGCAGTGTATGGTTACTCAGTAGACTTTCAGAATGGGGAAGAAAATTTGGCTAGGGAACAAATTAAAGTCACTTGTATCTGTACTTATGGAAAAAAAAAAAAAAAGCCTAATTTGGCTCTGAGGTCCACTATGACATGGAAACTTGGGACTAATACATGGCAAGGGGCCAGGTGCCCAACATAGTCTGATGTATCATGTTAACCAATCTGAAGAGGTAAACTACTAGAACGACTCAGGATGAATGGCTGCTCTTCTAGATGCACAATAACGAAGCAGCCCACAGGATTTTCTGAATCCTGAATTGCCAAGGGTCCTGACAGTAAGTAGAATTCATTACTATTCAGGGTAAGGCAAAAGTAACTTCACAGATGGAACTATGAGAGGAATAAGTAATGAACCTGGAATAAACGACAAAGGGTTAAGAACACACGTTTCATTTTACCATACAAGTTAGCACACAAAACACACTACTTTTTATTAAAGTGAACACAGTCATCTTAGTCATCTTCTGTCACTCTGAATTTAAATTGCTCCGCCTATCCTCCTCCCCTCAGCTGTCCCTATCTTCATCTCTCTTCCAGAGAAGTATGTAATTTTAGCCTCCTAGAGGCTACAAGGTCAGACTGAGGCAATGCTGGAATGGCTCAGGCTCATTCAACAAGTTTATTTCCAGTCTGAGGTATCTTAAGGGTCCAAATTTGGACCCTTGAGATCATTACAAGTCAGCCTGAATTTCTGAGTCAAGTACGGAATTATTCTAATCTACCCATTATCCCTCCAAATGAAGACCGATCAGACTGGGCTAGAGACAAGATCTACCAGTATCCCTCAGAAAACTTATGGCACTTATATATTGGCCCAGATATAAGTGCCAATATAGTATATGCTCAAGGAATAAGCAGGCATTCACTTAACGAATCCTAGAAAATCTCTTTTCTAAAAGCAAGCACCTGCTTCATACAGTTCAGTACTTTCGTTGATACAGTTTCTAAGAGCCTGTATCTAGGCTTAAAGCACCCACAGTTACAATGGTAAGAATACCAAGACAGGTGCTAATAATCAACCTTACTAAATAAACAAAAGAAATTTTTAAAGGTATCAGCCCACATAGAATTATTAACGTACATTCTTGCCTTATAATATGTATATATAAATGAAATGGGAATTCCTTTGTGAGCAAGCAAGTGCTTTCAAGGGTTATATAATCAGATTAACACCTTGTTCGTTAAGGACTCTAGGACACTAAATGCATACACACCAAATCTTAATTTAGGCACCAAAATTTAGTCTGTATCAGTTTCCAAGGCTTTCAGCTGGTCTAACCTTTGAGCTACTTCTTATCCCAGTCTATTTCAAGTCTTATTAATAGGCCCCCTGGAGCTTGTTATCTTTGACTCAAGCACCTCGTGGTCTCAGCAAAGGCTGCCAAGAAAGAAGGTCTCTAAGTGAAAAGCAGCATCAAGGCACCACAACGTGCAGTGCAAATTGTCTACTGTGACTTTGTGGGAGGAGAAAAACCATTCCTCAGTATAATCTGGGGCTATCTTCAACATGCCAAGATGATAATCCACAGTTGGTTAAGTGGCCATGGTTGAAACCAAGGAAAGAAGGAAGCAATTGCCAAATAATTCATATCATGCTTATAAAATAGACGGATATTTTAACTAAATAGTTCAGATAATTGTAGCACTCACTCTCCATTTCACAGAAGGAGAATCAGTTGTAAAGTTGGTGGTTCTGCTACTGGTGGCTCCAGTCTTACATTTTGAAAATCATCTTTTATGTACCAGATCATGGAGAAACACATTTTAAAAGAGTTCCTAAGCCAATAAGGGCCCCTTGTCTTGATGCAAAAAGATGGTTTCTCAACCGAAGATCTCAAATCTTTGAGCAGCTTAATCTTAAGCTGAATTTGTCTAGTATTGAATACACCTGTTCAGTTCGACTCATTGCCAGCCCTGTAAATGGGGAGGAACTTCTATATTGCATTCATAGATGTTAAAAAATATTTCCATAGCTGTCATCCCCTTCTCCAATTTCAAGAGATTACTGAATGTGAAGAGCATATTAAGTGAGAGATGTCACACTTCACAAGCTAGGGTGGCACTGAAGAGAGAAGGAAAGGAACCAAGGTGGTCAGTCTCAGGAGAAGGGCTCAGAAAATTGGCTACCTGATATGGGAAGGAGATCTACCATGAGTAATCTCAAAGAAGGTGCTTTTCTCAGGGCGATACTAAAATGTGTGTGGTAAGGACCAGACTCAGCTAGCAGTATCACCTTAAAAGAAAAAAGGCTACTGAGTAACACTAAGAAAACTATGCTTCAATAGAACAGTGATTCAAAAAAGGAACACAGCTAGGAGCAGAGAACTGGATCCTATTTCTGTATCCTCTATAAACCCATGAAATGATTTCTTTCAGAATCCAGAGCTCAGTCTCCTTCACATCCCAAATACATGGGAAAAGTAAGAACTCACCTTCCCAAAGAGTTCAAAACCTTTAAAATTGACTGTGGTTCTCTTAGCTTCTCTCCTATTTTACATTCAGCTCCTTATTAAGTGGGATATAGTGCTCTGCAATTAAAATGTGAAAAATCCATGCCTATGGGCAACTTCTCTCCTTTCTAAGCTTGCACAAGGAACAATTTTTGAGTGTCAGTTTCCTCATCTGTAAAATGAGAATAACAACACTACCTGCCACACGTACTTCAGAGAACCACTGCCGAGAGTCGCATGAGGTAAGAGATGAAATCATTTCTAAACAGCAAAGCACTCTATGAATATTGGTTGTACTGTGAGGCACTGTTACGAGCAGAAAAAAATGGATACAAAATAGGGTGAAAAGAGGAAAAGTTTCTTCCACCTGAAAGAGAAGAGTTGCAAATAAGGTGAGAAGTAATTTTAAGTTACTGGCTAAATATATTTAGGGAAGTGCTTTGACATAAAGTTGAATTATTATTTAGAAGTAGACTCTCATGCCAACACATTCACTTTGCGCAGGCGGCAGAAGAAAAATACGAAAGATTAAGAGTGGGTGTCCAGCTCTCGGCTCACCAAAATAACTGATGAAGTTCCATTTGGGGGGAGAAAGTGTGTTTAGTTATGACAGTCAGCATATACAGATTACTGTTGCATAAGGGGAGAGAAGTAAAGGTGTTCTCACCAAGCACAGATCATCCACAATCCATATACTAGAGCTATATATAGGGCATGTGATTTCTATAGAGGGCTTTAGAATAAAAGAAAAATAGAAAGGCTGTTCCATAAGGATCAAACAGACAGAAGGTAATTCTATAGTTTAGTTCTCCACAGGAAGCTCTTAGGAAAGTAGTACTGACGGGAAGAAAATAAGATACCCATAGCAATGAGGTCTGGGTGTTTGAAGAGCTATACGGAGGAGTAGGCACAAACTGTTTCGAAGCACTACAAATCAGCAAAACAAGAGGTGTGGTTTCGGACTGGCTTGCCTTAACCCAGCATAGGGATTTACTCTTTAAGTGACCTAAGACATTCTACAATGGGGCCACACAAACAAAAAACGCAATTTTCTGAAAGGGTATTAGACAAACGACACTATGCATGTGAGTGACGGGGTGTACAGGCACGCCAACAAGACATAAGTTAAGATAACTAATCTATAGGGACGCCAGAGACAAAATCACCGGTAACCATGACAACCCAAGTAGGTGGAGGGAAATACAAACACTGACCAGGCTGCAGGGCGACACTATTCCTTCAGGGAAAGACCCTGGGGTCAGAAAAAGACTTGATTAGTGGAGGCAGCTGGCCAAGAACGACTAGCCCAAAGGGGCAGTGTCCACGCAGGAGGGCTCGGAGGTGACACTTATACTCTCCATGGGGTGGCTCACAGGGTCACAGGCTCATCCACAGGGGACTGGGACGCCTATAAGACGGAGATGGGAGTTACCTGGTGAAGGGCTGTCAAGCCGTCCACGTTGACCGTGTTTATGTCGGCACCTCTTGCCAGAAGCTTTTTTACCTCGTCTGTGTCCCCGCTAGAGCAGGCGGCCAGGAAGACAGCACCATCCTCGAAGCGGACCCTGGGGCTCCCACGCCTCGTCAGCGACTGCCGCCCCGCGCCTCGTCGCTCCGCGGGCTCCTGCTCTGTCAATGAGCCCCGCCAGCGCCGAAGCTGCTCTGCGCGCCGCATTCGCGCCGACTCTGCCCGCTTTCCTCCCAGGTGCTCCAGCTCCGCCATTGCTCCGGCCCCGGCCGGTGCTGCCGAAACTACAAGCACTAGATCGCTGCTGCGGCTAGGGGAACCGCTGCCGCGTCCCTCAGAGCGCTTCAGCCAGGAGCAGAAGGCAGAGACCCCCGCACCGCCATCTTTACTCCTCCCGCTACTAGCACCGCCCACACGCTCCCTTGGCTTCACTACGCCTGCGCTGCCCGGGCCTCTGGTCATCACGGGACTTGTAGTAGGCGGCCTGTCCTAAGGGCACTTCGTGGCCGTAAGGGAACTACAAATCCCTGGATGCATCAGAAAAGGGATGAGGACCGGCGGCTCCCTCTTTTGCCGCGGGACCTAGCGGGGTCACCTTTGCCCTAAAGCTGGAACTGTGTCCTGGACTGGCGTCAGCCTCTAACTCGGAGCATTTTGGGAGTCGTAGTTTATTTTCCTTGTAACTACTGACTAATGTTAGCTCCCTAATTATTACATCAGTCCTTCAGAGTGAAAAGGGGCAGTAATTATCTCTATTTTCTAGTTGGGAGAACTAGACATAAAGTACCTGAAAGACTCGAATCCATGACCTGGTTCTAAATCTGGAGTTTTATTAACATGTGTATTAATCACAGTGCAAATGTGAATGTACGTGGGAAGGAGGAGCATACATACACATACAGTATTACGTGTATTACATAAATACTTTCAACATGGACACTTGATCTTGAAAGGGATGCATCCAGCTGAAGTGAAAAGAGCCTGAGCTTTGAATGCAAATTGATTCACATCCATAGACAAATTACTTGACTTCTCTGAATCTGTTTCCTTATGTGTAAAATGGGAATAATAATGCCTCACAGCGCAATCGTGTGGATCAAATGAGATAGTATATGCAAGGATGCCTAGTATTATCCCTGGCACATATCGGCTCTCAGTAAATATTAATTTCCTTTCTTTCTCTCTCCTCTTCCTCTACTTTTTTCATGGATATTAAATTCTTACAAGACAGTGTGGATGTTTTGTCTTCCATGATATTTATTCAAAGCTAGAGAAAGGTACTATGGAGCATACTAAACTCCTAAGGCAGCAAGTAGGACAAATTTATATTTACCATGAATTTGGTTATAAAACACATGTCTGTCCAACTGATGTAATAACTATACCCTCCAAGACCATAGCCCTGGACAAAATATAATTAAATGTGTCATGCAAAATGAAAGAGAACACATAGAAGTATTAGATTCTTTAAACTTTTCTGTATGTTTGAAATTTTTCATTTAAAAATGTTATAAAATGATTAGGGCATTGTAAAGGGAAACTTTATTATATTCTATCATGTGAACATTTGCCTGTTCCTCAATTCCCTGTGAAAGGAACTGGAAGTCTTATACATCGAGGAAATCAATGAATCAATGAATTAAGAGCTTCAAATGAAAAGTGACATA